TAGCCGACTGGAATGCGCATCTCATCAATACGGCGAGTGTATGGTTTGGCATACACTAGAGAGGTTTGTGGAACTCCTCCATATTGAGCCCTTATGGTGTCAACGATCATGTACTAGAGCTGTTGCATCATCAGAGAAGTGATAGAGACTTGAGTGGTTGCATCAGGTTCTGTACTGTAACACGATCATGCTCCTCTTGTTGCTGCTTCAGTTGCTCTTTGAGGTTGGGAATCGTTGGAGAAGTGAATCCTAGAGGATGAGAAGGTCCTTGACTGGACTCTGTTTGGCGGTTTTGTATCTCTAGTTTGTCCATTAGGAAGGCAATCTGGAGATCCTTCTCAGCTTTGGAGCATTTGAGGTTGTCAATGGCTTCAACCATCTTTGGGAGTCGTTCTTCCATCGCCGCGGCTTCTGTCATCATCACTGGTACGACGCCACTAGAAGTAGAGTAGGAGTTGTGTGATGGAGAGGAGTAATACTCCGTCCTCGACACAGTGTTGTATTGGTCATCTGGAAGAAAGTGTTTTTTCCCTTTCACATCAATGTGTGGAGAGTTGAAGAGGCTTTCCTTCTGCAGAGTAGTTACCTTGGTGATTTTCCATGTAGGAAGCTCCACTAGAGACGGTAACTGTGCTTTGTTGGATTTTTCCATAGCACGTGTGACAGGACAGTTGTAAGAACCGAAAGCGCCAGAGGACTTGTGAAACGAAGTTGCAGCCTTCTTGGTAGCCATTGGATGTCTATTACAGTTGTTGACTCGAAAGATGAGAGGAAGAGAGCATCCCACCGAGCATGCCAAAAATTTGTTGACCCAAATTTCGTGTATTTCAATTAGCACAAAATATGGAGACAAATTACAAAAATAAATTTGTAATAAAGAAAACAAATAAGGGAATGAACTCTTTGATTTCTGCTCGATGACGTGAGCAACCTCTGATTAACGGTCGAATTCGGTGAAGACGAGGGCCGTCGGCGTGTTTCTCGTACTTCTTGAAGTGTTGATGTAGATTTTCTTGATTTTGGTGCTTTGGGAGATTTGATGTAGATTTTTTCACTCCGGGATTCACATTTGATCGGTTGTGAATGATGCTTCTCTAAGAAGGGCCCTTTTGTGGTGGATTGATCTTCGTGTGAGAGTTTGAATCCAAGTGTGTTGTTGAGAATGAAGAAGCTTTTCCCTTCTTTCTTCTCTCTTGATCTTACAATTGTTGGAATTTGTAGGAGCTTGTGGTTACTTACAATCCTCAAGCATTGGTGTGTGAGAGCTTCTTGCAATGTGATTCTCCCAAAAGGAAGACTCTTTCTTCCTATGCAAAGCTATTTATAGCCAAGGGTTAAAGCTGCCACTTCAGCCCACTTAACTAACCAATCCATGTGAGTGCGGTGTTGGGTTAGCATTAACTCCTATACATGCACCATTATGTAGAAGTTAGTGGTCTTGTCAATGGGACCACCCTATTACAATAGGACAAGGGCCATATTGGACTTAGTACACTTGGATCTTTGAGCCACTAAGCCATGGGCCCATAGAGGTCCATATTAATTTAGACGCTACCATGTAAATTAAATCCATTTATTTGGCTTTGAATATTCACATGTCTATAGTTGTGATACTTAGAAGGTTAATGATTAACTGAGATTGATAGAATGTAGGCAAAAGTGGTTGTGGATAACCACTTTTGCATTTTCTGTATTTTTTAGGAATGGATTGAAAATGGTGGTAGTGGGTTGTGGGGTTTAGCAGCAACTTCTTAGAAAATGCCACATGTCTAGCTTTTTAGAAAAATGAGAATGCTATGTATCTAAATGGGGGGGGGGGGCTGTAGCCTGGTAGTGGGTTGTGGGTTTTAGCAGGAATTTCTCAAATGTGTCTAGCTTTCTTGAAAATGAGAAGGCCACTTGTCAGAATGGTAGTATTGGGTTGTGAACTTTAACATCAACTTCTCAGAAAATGCCATGTGTCTAAATTTGAAAAAGCTATGTGTTTGAATTTCTCAGAAATTCCCATCTCGATATCCTTGCCTCTATGAAGTTGATCTTTCTGGTCATTTACAAAAGAATCCTGCAAGAATACATGATTACATGAATTACAGAACTGCTTTACAGTAAAAGAAATGCTTTAAAAGTCAAACATGAAATTGTTGGCAAAAAACAATCGTTTCAATAAAATCTCTATCCTTCTATGCCATCACATGTCTTCAATACATTTGGGAAAAAATCAAAAGTAAACAAAAGAAGCAATTAAGAAAAAGAAGAAAGAGTAAAAAGAGACATTTTGTAAAGAAACTAATCAATTTTACTCTCCATCAGTCATACAATGACTAAACTCTACGAGCGAAGTTTATATGGACATGCTTTACCATATACCGTCGGGGAGTTTAATCTTGTTAAAAAATAGTGAAGTCCTTTTAAGATTAGATTATTAGAATGTGAAATGGTAATTGTATCAATATAAATCTGATTTAATTTATGACTACTATAATAATCAAACAGGAACAGGGTGATTAACAGAACACAAGTAAGAACGACTATCACTTTTCTATAGAAGAAAAGCAAGATTACCGTGAGCAGATTGTTCATTTCTATCAATTTCCTGTTAGGTGTCTCAGAGAAAAAAACGTGTTCTATGCTAGAAACTTGGGAGGGGAGAAAACAAAGTCAGCAGTAATGGAGTCCGTTGAATGTTGCGAGTAGTAAACACAGAAAAATGAAGAAAAGAATAACAGGGGCGTTATGGGATGAGCGGCGACGTGGGCTCTGATTTCCCAAGCAAACAACTTAACGAAGACCCATGAACTGTGGAATGAATCCTGGTTTGAGCTGGAAACTGGAATTATTATCCAACACTTCACAGTTTACACCCATTACAACTCAATAAAGTCATTACCACCTACTTTGCAATCAGGTTGTATTCTCCTGAGCAAGTTTATGAATGAATTAAACCATAAGGCTATCTGCCTTATGATCTTTTCTCTCAGAAAAAAAATAAAATAAATAAAAATGTGGTTACAACCTTTAGGCTTCAATACACGATATAACCAATCAAACCCCTGGTGAATTTTGATAAATACCAATTGCTTGGTTGCTACTTTTCTCTGGTTATAAGCTTTGTTTTTTTTCATATTATACTCAAATTTGTACTCTCTAATTAACTCATGCACTTCAGTGGTTTATAGACTTAAGCAAGGAAATCTATACACTGTGCGCAGGTAGGATCAAGCCGACTGATTCCACAGCTCAATTTGTTGGGTGCTTGGTCAATCGTTAAAATGCCCTTATAGATTTCTTCCCAGAAATATTGCTTGGTCAGGTGGTGGTGAAGTACTTTCCAACTAAGGAGAACTAAGGAGATGGTTCAATTCAGTTGTCTTGGGCTTCAGTCTAATGTGTGTTATTGTTAGAGTCCTGCCTCTAACATCACCACCTTGCTATATTAGGTAGGCTCAGCACTGCACCGTAGTAGGACTCTGAAATGAATTATAAGATTGGGAGAAGAACAAATGTTGCAATCGTCGAGAGAATCAACATCCCATACTCCTCTATTATTGGATTTGTCATTGACAACCTATATTTGATACAATATGGGTTTTGTGTAGGGTGCAATCGAGCCGAGCTGAGCCTATTTTTTATGTCAAGGCTCAGTACTTCAACTATAATACTATTAAATTTGAGTTTAATTCAAACTTTATTTATTTCCTGATTCGAGTTCGGTTCAATTCAATATTTAATGAGTTCAAAGCTCAAAAATGAATATGTTTTTATATTTTATAAATAGATATTTTTATAATATAGGTATATTCTTATATTATATTTAGAATATAAAAATACATTTTCATAATATATGTATATGTATATATATATATGTATGTATGCATGTGTTAATCGAGCCAGACTTACAAACTTTTGAGCCGAATTTTTTATTAGTCAAGCTTGAGTTCAAACTCAATTAGAATCAAACTTGTACCAAACCAATTATAACTCGATTTGATTGCAGCCTTAATCAATTTGTATATCCATAAAAAAATATATTTTCCATTTTAATGTTGCTTTGGAAAGATGGATCTCATAAGCTTAAAAATAAAAAAGCCTACTACTCCCTACATGTGATCTTCCACTCCTAAATCCAAATGTCATGCTTCACAAGATAGTCTATACTAAACTTGAAAGATAATGCTGACAGAATCTGAATAAGGAAATTCTAGGAAACAATCATGAGCAATCAGATAAGGTATGATGGAAATGCTCAGTGGTTTAAGGAAAGATAGGTTGTGCCTCTAAGAACCACTAAATTCAAACTCATTGAGTCATATGCAACTGCCCAGGTTGAAGCCTCATAAAGTTAGAAATCTAGGTAAAAATTGGTTGCCTCTGTTTTAGGCTTTCTTGGTTCAATCATCCATCCTTTAGGGGATTCTTTGATAGCAATTTTCATAGAAATGCAGGGATTGAATGGGGATAATAAAATATTGATTTTGATGGTAATAGACTGATATAAAAAATAAATAAATGCATGGTACTTAATAAGCTATTAGAACATCTCCTGGTTAAAGCACCTTGAACCTTGGCATTCATCAAATCAAATGGACATGATGCATTCATGCCTTGAGCATGTTGAAGTGACCTCCTTGCCCAACCAACCAAATCATTTTCTTGTTCTGAAAATCATATATATAACATCGAAAATCGATGTAAAACTTTACTTGCATCGCATTTTACATCGATAGTCGATGTAAATACAATTTTAATAAAAATGATATAAATATTTATATCAATAATCCCACTTTCTATTTGCAATGGTCCATAACTTTAAATTTATTGATATACAACTCCATTGGTATAATTTTAGTTTTACACTGCATTCAAATGCAGCCTCAGTATTTCCATAATAGTCATTTGTCATAAACTAATAAAATTGAGAAGAAAGAATTCTTTCTCATCATATAAGTGACTTTGCAACCTTCATCTGGAAAGGAGAGGGTGGGGGTGCCCTGCCACTAGATGATGATAAGACTTGGGAGGAATTCAAGGAGAAGCCCAACAATCCGAGAGCATTTCTGGAAATTCAACAATAATTGCAACATCCAAAACTCAGGGAATAGTACATGTTTCTGGCAGATTCAAGAATGCAAAACATAACAAAAATTTCCTTTACGAGGAATAAAACCTCTAATGGAGTTTTTAATTGCAGTATCAGAAACTCAAAACGAGTTGAGCTTACTTCAAAGTTCCAACTAACACAAAATTAACGGACTCAATCGACTGCAATCTCATTTCCAGCTATTAGGCCAGAACCCATGAATTCTATATCCCGTCTTCCAGTTGTCCAAATATATAACCTCCTTGACAGCCCAAAACGAAACCAAAAGCGTCAAAAGCATAAACACCCTCTGGACCTGCACGTTCCTCACCTGAACAAGCAGATGTGTCACGAATGCCAACAACAATCCTACGATCGTATACAGGAATCCAACTGCAAACCCCTCTACTCCGAGTTGCAGTTCCGACCCCTGATAGAAGAATATGGGTTGTGATGGATCCTTCTCGTCAGCCAAGAACATAGGCATCTTCCGAATTATATTGTGCATTGTGCCAGAAACACTGAAGAAGTAAACGAACACAGCAAACGTCAGCCACAGCTTTGAATCATGAACGAAGGTGTCCCCGGCGACAACCCTTTTCACAAGGAACGGAATCGATATCACCAACACAACACCCAAGAACCCTAGTTGTTTGTTGGAGAGAATCGGAGGGCGTTTGATGGGTCCCACCTTGAGCCTCGTTTTGGACTCGACGAAATCGGCCATGGACGCAGCCGTGGATGCAGCCATTCTGGAGAATTCACTTTGGTCCATTGGCTCGGAATCCTTGAGGTTCTCGATCTGAGGACCCACATGGCGGACGTGAGGGAGGAACTTAATGCCGAAGAGGGCGAAGCTTGACTGGGATTCTGTGAATTCGATGTCGCAGAAAAAAAGCTTCGATTGGGCGGGGGTGTCCTTGTTGTTGGCAATAAAAGCGGAAGCAACGAGGCCAAATTCGTTGAGGAGGTCTTGGAGATGGAGGTCGTGCTTGTCGTGGAGTTGAACGGCGTCGAAGAAAATGACGAGAGAGTACGACCTAGATTTCGCGGAGGTTAAGAAGCGATCGAGGCTGTGGTCGTCGAGATGAATTACGCCAGATTTCGATCGAGACTGGAGGCGCAAGAGCTCGGTGACTCGGTCGGAATCTGATTCGGAAGAAGCCTTGGAAAGAATGAGAGAAGAGGAGAGGACGAAAACGAGGAAGTAAGAAAGCTGGGGAAACATTTTTTACCCGCTGCAAGAAGCGCAGAGGCTGAAAACTTGATTTATTTTGTGGTCCGATCGGAGACGACGGGTTTGTTCGGGTTGGGGAGGAAAACAAAAGGGACGGAGATTCGGAGAGACGATTGTTGCATACTTGCATGTCTCTGACGTGCAATAGTGAATTCGGGTTGGGCTTTTGTTAAATTTTGAATGGACCCGGCCCTAAAGGCCAAAACTGCTATCTTTTGCACTTCAATGTTTCTAACTCGCCAGGCATCGTTCAAACCGTCACTGATTAGCATTTTCGGTACGGTTTAGTTAACATCCATCAGACGATAAAAAACTGTTGATTTGGTCAAGAATCATTTGATTTTACTGGTTCAATCCAGTGACTGGGTCACGGATTGTACATTCAATGCATACAAAATTTTTGGAGGTCATAACTTTATATTTCGATGCAAAACTTTTGGCCTCAAATTGCAATTTTTTATATTTTTTATAAATACAAAAATAATTAAAAACTGAATTAAAAATATAAATTAAATATAAAATAATACACGTAACACATCTAAGATTTATTTATACATTATTTATTGCTAAAATATATATTATACACACACACATATATATATATAATACATATATGCGCTGATGTGGCACGGTTTGAATAGTTTGACTCGGCCGGTCGAACCAGTGACCCACGACCTGAATGCAAAAATGGTTCGGCCTCCGAATCAGTTTTTAAAACATTGCTTAACATGATTGCATTCAGTGCAAATTAGTGCATTAGTGTAGATTAAGGGTAAGCAAATGGGTGGGTTCTACGTGGAACCAAATGGAGTCGATCTTGAACTAGTCTTGAATCAACCCTATCCAATTTGTTACAAGGTAGGGTTTAATTCCAAATTCTTTGAATCAATCCCCACTCAGGTTGGTTCTAGGGTCTAGGGGTTTACCCTACCCGAACCAACCCGATGAACTGACTTTGGTTGGCCTTGGTGGAACCTGCCTTGGAATCGAACTTGTCTTCAAATAAATCCTAAGGTCGTGTTTGGTTGCAATGTAATAAATTTGCACTAATGCAAAACTATGGTAGTGCAAATGATTTTAGTGTAAATTCCTGTTTATTTTTGTTTCAAATTTTAGCTTATTTTGTTTGATTGCATTACAAATGAAGTAAATTGTAACATGAAGCAAAATAAAGTAAAACCAGAAACAAAATTAAACTAGAATTTGCATTTTTATCATTTGTAGTTCCATGCTTTTGTACTAGTGCAAATAAAATTGCACTACAACCAAACACAACCTAAAATTACAAAGGCCGTAGTCTTACTTGAACATTCAATTACTTAAATTATTTGATCATCTGTTTTCATTTTAATATTTGAATGTGTAAAATAAGTAATGTAAAATGTAATATTTACAAAATTTAAATTTAAATTATAAGTTTTGAACCATATAATGATAATCTACATATTAAGTTACTCAATTTAATTAATAAAGATAATATAAGTTTTAAATTATATATTATATTTATTAAAAATCAAGTTTTTAAAGAACATGCTTCTTTTTTTTTAAGGGAATGTAAAGAAATAACAAGTTCCATGGGTAGACCCTAGAATTAACCCTAAAACCACCAAGGCCAAAACCGTTCATAGGGTTGGTTTTGGTTCCAAAAAACTGACCCCTATAGGGTAGGTTCTAGGTTTTCCCATGGAACTGAACTGAACCGACCCATGCTCACCCCTAGTGTAGATCCTAATCCCTGTTGATCCGAGAGTAGTTAAAATTTTTATTTACTATAACCCCTCAACAATTGCCACGTAAGAACACATGTAAAACATTCACAAAAGTTAGAGAGGAGATTATGTTTTGCTCATTCTTCCTTCAAGTAATTTAATTGTTCTACCTGATGACAAAAAGACACAAAAACTCCTTAGACATAAAAATAAAAGGGAAATTGTCTAAAACTCATCATGACTTTTCAACATTTCTCTTGAATAAACCATGACTTTCAAAACACCCAAGGCCCATGCTAGTGAGTTTTTGTTTCCCAAATCTCACCATCCATTATAGTATTGTTAGTGTTAATTGACATAAGTTGTCCACATCAGTATAGATGCAACTTTCATGACCAAAACTGCCCCTGAATGGTGAATCAGAGGAAGAAGCACATTCATCATCTTCTACCTCCCAACGAACCAGAGGTGCCCCTTCTCTCTCTCTCTCTCCTCTGCCTCCTCCTTGTTCTTCTTCTTCCCCTTTCTCTTTCCCTTCTCTCCCCCCTTCTTCTTCTTCTTCTTCTTCTTCTTCTCTATTGTACCCCTTTCTCTTTTCCTTCTCCCCCCTTCTTCTTATCTATTGTAATGGTCTCTCAAGTTGTTATTTTTCAAATCGTAGGTTTTTAGTTGACGTTCTCCCATCTAATCGATGGGAGATGTTTGGGGAGCTTTGGGGCATTTTATTTTCCATTCAATATCATCCGCCTTTGATTAATTGCAATTTCCATAAGGTGAAAACTGCAATAGATCCACTGATTGCATACCATTGTTATCGATCCCAACATCCTCGTGGTCAAAGCTTCTATTTTCTCATGCTAGATCTCTTCCTTATTTGCCATTCAATATCTTCCACCTTGCTCCTACTCATCATCAACAGAAAAATAGATGGAAATCAATAGAGAACAATCCAAACTTTCAAATATCTAGTTAACAAAGGCCCTTTGGCTCCCCTTTTTTTTATCTTTTCTGTCATAAAAGAGGGAAGGGGCAAAGGGCATATTAGAATTCAAGGAAAGCTAGAAAGAATGCATTGATTGAATATGGTAATCACATCATATTTATAGGCTAAAACAAATATCAAACCTATTCAAACTCAAATTCTTAAACTCTATCTAGGACTCTATGTAATCAATCTTAATCCATTTCAAACTCTATCATAACATAACAAATTCTATCTTAGTGAAAACTCCTAATGTAATTTATTCAACATCACCCTTATCATAACAACCAATACACCAATCTTTATCTTAATTCCCTAACATGCCCCCTCAAACAGATGGGGATCAGAAAACTTCATGTGTTTGATCACAAATGGCCGCAATATGACGATAACTATGTAGATGATGATGATCTTGATGGTGTCCTATTGTGAATATGATAACAAGCCTGCTGGAATGAGGTTGATAGCAAATGATGATCGGTTATATGATGGCATGACGAGAACCTGTGATGATGTGTCCAAATCTCCAAGTCTGTTGTGATGATAATGTGGCAAACTAATGATGACATGGTTGTATTGATAGCATGATGATGAGTGCCTATTGCTTCCTCAAGAGAGAGCCTCCATGGGTTAATGGTGAAAATTTTCAATGGGCCAATTATGGGCCAAACTAAAAATAGGCCATGAAAAGACCTCATTGTTAGTGGGTCAATTAGGAATGCCACTATGGGCTGGCTTCTTGAGCCGATCAAAGAATAGTCCATATCCGGCCAATATCAAAATAGGCCAACAAGGGCCGATAAAACACCTTAATAGGTCAATGAAAAAAAAAACTTTAACAGGCTAAATTACCACTATGAGCCAAACAACAATGCCTTAATGGGCTTTCTTTTTTTTTGTTTATTCTCTTCTTTTATGTTCTTCTTTTCCTTTTTTTCTTTTTGCTGAAATGGGCCTTCATAGGACAAAACACACCAATGGCCACTATGGGCAGAAAACCATAATGCACCTACCAAAATATAGAAGAGTAGCAATGTTCATCTGAACTTATTGGACTGATTTGATCGGGTTGACTGGATGAAAGCTTCGAATATTGGGCACAAGTGATCACCATCATTGCCAACTGAAAACACCTAATTGAGGTAGATTGAACAGGTGTTACAGGACAACGGCCTTGTCACCTGAAGAGGTGTGAATGTAATGCTTTGGAACGATTTGTTCATGAGGGAGATGAGGAGCAGAGCATAAATCATAGCTGTTGATTAATGCAATTTGTTGAAGTTAGGAGACAAATAGGTGAACCATCAAGGTAGGTGCATATTGAGATGTGAGACTTCAACAAGAGTTGATAACAACTCTTGACAATGGTAACCAAAAATTTCTAATCTTAACCAACACCTACATTTGGTGGATCATCTTTTGTAGGACGATGAAAAATTTGGCAGCAACAACAAAAAGAAAACCAAAGCAATGGTGAGAAACATAAGTCGATCAAACACTTCAGAAGTGGCTAAATCACAAAGAATTTCGTGCTCTGTTAATCTTCTGTATTGTTGATGAGGGCCATCATTGGAAGTTGGAGATATGCACATAAGGGATCATGACCTCAATGTTGCCAAAGCTCCAAACAATAGCACATCGTCCACCAAAGAAATCCAAATAAAAGTGAAAAAGGTGATCGGATCCATCTCCATAGCTTTTTACATGATCTATTATTAGTGATAGCAAGTCAATGATGTTGAACAACAATGGATTTATTGATCTAAGATGACTAGTTTGAAGATTGTCTTGGATACCCTGCTTCGTCTGCATCAATAAAAGGGTGGTTGGTTTGGAATGTGGGACTTTATGATAGGATGGGAGTGCAGATTTAGGTTAGGCTGGATGACAGGGTGATGAAAAATTTGGTGTATAAAGAAAACCAAATAAAAAAAGAAAGGAAATCTAATATGTAAATGGAGAGAGAAGACCTGGTGGGTGGCTAAGATGTCGGCCACCCACTGAAAATACAAAAAGCACAATGGGAGGCCTCTAGGCTCAGACCTTGGGCTCTAATATCATATTAGAATTCACGGAAGGCTAGAAACAATGCATTGATTGAATATGGTAATTACATTATATTTATATACTAAAATAGAGATCAAACCTATTCAAACTCAAACTCTTATACTCTATCTAGGACTCTATACAGTCTATCTTAATCCATCTCAAACTCTTTCATAACATAACATAACAAATTCTATCTTACGGAGAACTCCTAATGTAACTCTGTACAACATCACCCTTATCATAACAACCCATACACCAATCCTTATCTTAATTCCCTAGCAATGAATCCTACATCTCAACCACACCCTTTTTCTTCTCTGAAATTATCCTGGCTACTATTGCTTCCAGAAAACCAGAGAATAAACAAAAATAGATTTTAATTTAGGAAGATAAT